ATGATGAGTGTAGGAAAATGCTATAAGGACACCCATTACGTGATATAGTTCAACGCCGCGTAGAATTCGCTGTGCCTGGATAGGTCTGCCCTTCAATGCTATTTAACGGTCAGGAAGAGGGTGGCCCACTGACCTAAACTGGTCCAAGAACCAAGGATAATACGAGATAGGGACTTATGTGATGCTACAGCTCCTATTTCCCACTGTTTGCTAACTCTGACATGGGGTAATCCGACCTCCGGCAGAGTTCAGATTTCGCGATGATGCGCGTGGACGCACACTAACGCGCTATATCGCGCGTCGACACCCTACAATTACAATAGCGCTCTAAAGGTATAGATGCAACGCAGCTGCAGAAGGTCAGCGCCGATCAATACTAGTCTGCGTGACTGGGCAGCCATCCTATTCTGCCAACTGTTTCGAAGCACCATGGCCATCGATATCCGTCTGCAGCCGCGTTCGCGTCTATACTTCGGAGCGCTGTCACAGTTGTAACGCGTCGACGCTCGCCATCGCGAAGTCAGAACGCTGCCTTGCGCTTATCAACAAGGCAGCGATCAACTTAGCGATAGCAGCGATATGGTAGTAATCAGGACGTGGCGACGGTAAAGGTTCCTGAAGAAAGGCATCGTATTCGAGTTTTCGGAGTGAGCCTTACATGGCCACGTTAGGTGGCTAAAGAGTAGGGTCTGCATTCCTCTCTTCTCACTGTCGTAGTCTACAATTTGTCCTGAGAATTGGAAGCAAGGTAAAAAGTGGGGTAGTTGAGTTTACCTCCACCGAATTTAAGGGGGATGGGGTCCTATCTGGAGCAGCGGCCGAGGGGATCATGCTGAACGACCAGTTTTTCTCATCGCTAGCGTGTTGTGAAGGGAACATCAGCGATTCAGAGAGTTATAAAAGTAAAGGGCAAAATGAAACTCTGCAGAAGTGCGGGGCCATTCCTAGGGCAAGGGAGGACGGGGTTCCGCCGCAAGTTGTACTGCCAGTTCCACTACTTCCACGTCCATCTCTGCGTGATGTATTTGAGAGTAGGTATGGAGATCAAGGAAAAGATTCCTAGCGGCTTCTAACACTCAAATACAAATTCCTGGTGAATTGGCACAAATAAGGTAACATAAAATTACAATAGCAATGAGATCAATTCATAGCGAGATTCAGCGTTCAATGGCATGCGGAATAAGTGTCAGAGCTTGCGATTGTGGTAGTATGGACGTCGTGGGTCGTTTCCTAAGAACATTTACTGATGTTCGCCTATCGATTATCGGATCCATATGATATCGATTTCACATGTGTCAAATCGATAGCCCTTTCATAATTGTAATACGTAAGAAAAGAAATGAAGCTATTGTTGAGGTAGCTACCCATGGGGCGCACACTACATACTGCAATCGCAAACTCTCCTATAATTTTTTTTGAATCTTATATTGCAGAACCAAAACAATCGATAAAATCATTTGAGAGCATCATAGTATCACAGTTCTGTGTGGAAAGGTGTCATTGTTGCAGATAAAAAGGGAAGAACATCATCACTTGATCATCAGCACCAGGGCACACCATCACGTTGTGTAAAATATTTTTCAAGGAAGTCTGATCCCACCAAACGTTCTGTTCAGGACGACATTTCATTCCATAACCTAGTTACCTTCTTGTCAACTTTTCCCAAAATTTTGCCGTCTAGTAGGGCGGGGCAATTTCGCGGTACCGCTCACTAGGGAATAGCGCGCGTAAAACGGGAACAATCATGATCAGAGAGATTTCCTCACAGGAAAAAGCGACCTCTCCATCTAGCGGCCAATTACTAGCTGTCTTTTACACGACGAATGGTGAACCCTGAACAGCTGTCATCGAATCCAATGGAAGCCTGAGGAATCCGATAGGGCCTGGACCGGCTCCGGAATGCTGGTATCGATAATCCATTGGTGACGACTTCTGATACCACTGGTTCATCCACAATATTCGGCAGCAATGCGATCGTCTGAAAATCCTTTCAAAATGAACATAAGATCTGAAGGTAAAACTCGTTCGTTTTGATAGTCGCTTTCATTATTTTATGCTCCTCCAGCACGACCATCGTTTGGGAGATCGACGCTGCGGCGAAAGTGATGTAGCAAATGTAGCCAAGCTCACGGCGAGTTGACCAGTTGCAATAAAAACCCACTCTTTTCCGCGCCTGCGCACAATTAGGACCTCCTGACCAACCACTCATGAGCCCTGTCCTTTGATTTATCCCCCAGCCAAGGCTGCAACTGCAATAATAGTGGCGCACTTGATCTGACAATGAGAGTAGGTAGAAAACGCCTGCAGCCACTGTCCACGTTTAGTGGGCAGAGCGACGTTGAGGTACCATCGATACGCTTTTCTTGTCTGAGCAGCTGGCCCTGATGGCGAATATCAGGCCAGTTTTGCTTTTTTTTACCCTCCTATCCCTTCCTATACAAGACCAAAAGCCAAATATGGAACAGACTGGGCATCGATGGTGGGGTTGCAAGTGGCGTCGCTATGGCATCTCCAATGATCTCGGATCGCTTCTACTGCGGGCCAACCAAACCTTTCACCCTTTAGAGGTCGGCTTGATGGTGAAAAAAATTCGGTCCGAGAGGAAGAAAGAGGAAAATCGCTGGTCGGTTGCACCCCAAAAGTCAATGCATAGTCAGCTGGCATTCAGAATGCCACTACATGTTCGAATGGAACTGATGCGCTAACATTAAAATGCACTCTTTACCCTTTACTGCCCCAGTCATTCGAAGTAGGGCCAGTTTCCGACCGACTTTTTTCTCCATGGACAGATTTGGCTCAATGGTTGTCTCTTGGGTAGTTTGACCTCCTGAACACGAATATCACCTCCGCTTGGCACGAAACCTTCTGATGCTCGCGCCACAGACTTCGGCGCCAAAACAACCCAGATTACCGGCGCCTGTGGCGCGGGCGCCAGTTTCGTGCCAAGCATATATGATATTCGTATTCAGGAGGTCAAACTACCTTGAGAGACAACATTTGAGCCAATCTGTCCACGGAGAAAAAAGTCGGTCAGAAACTGGCCTGATTTCGGATGACTGGGGCAGTAAAGGGTAAATAGTGCCATTGAAAAAAATTAGGTTTCAAAATAGCGTCATCACTCACCTACATACGTCTAAAATCGCCTTTAAATATGCGTGTGAGCGTCTTCTTGAATTGTTGATTAGCCATAGCATAGCAGAACGGGTTTAATGGCGAATTCATGTAGCACAAGTAGTAGCTGATCGAATAGAGCATGTTGAAGGCTGGTGAGCTTTTACAACTTTCACAAAATCCGTATATGGTGGCCAGTACGTAGAACGGCGTCCACAGCACGATGAATGCACCCAAGATGAACGTGATCGTACGCAGAGCTTTACGAGCACGATTTTCAGATCGAGACTTGTATCCTGCCTGAAAGTAGCGAGTTACAGTGAGTGGTTCCTGTATCGGTAAAATTACCATGTTCCTCCAATGTCGAACCAATCGATACTGTTTGGCTGATAAGTTCTGTTTCGATGGGTTTCAAGACAAGTGGGTGACATGACAAATCATTTTGAAGCAACTTAGAATCTTCCCAAAATGACCGGTAGCATCCAAAAGTTGTCTGGTTCGGGTAGTTATCAGTATGCAGCACAGGGCATATGGCATTCCTAAGGAACTGCCGCAGTGGGGAGGAGTCAAGATAGGCGAAGGTCGGTTCCACGAGAGGGCCATCACTAAAGCAAAAAGGTGGGAATTTGGGGAAAAAATGGACTTGTATCGTATTATATGTGTAACAGCC